CCCACCAGTGTTGAATAGTTTATCCTTGTTTACCCGGTCGATTCCTCTGAGGATTTTGTAGGTTGTGATCATGTCTCCCCTTACTCTTCTGTCTTCCAGTGTCGTAAGGTGCATTTCCCGCAGCCTTTCCTCGTAACTCATGCCTCTTAGTTCTGGGACTAGTCTAGTGGCATACCTTTGGACTTTTTCCAGCTTCGTCTTGTGCTTGAAAAGGTACGGGCTCCATGCTGGGGCCGCATACTCCAGGATTGGTCTTATATATGTGGTGTACAAGATTCTGAATGATTCCTTACACAGGTTCCTGAACGCTGTTCTGATGTTAGCCAGCCTCGCATATGCCGCAGACGTTATTCTTTTTATGTGGGCTTCAGGAGACAGGTTATGTGTGATATCAACTCCTAGATCTTTCTCTCTGTTCGTTTCATTAAGTACTTCATCTCCTATTCTGTATCCTGTGTTTGGCCTCCTATTTCCACCACCTAGTTTCATTACTTTGCATTTACTCGGGTTGAACTTCAACAGCCATTTGTTGGACCATTCACTCAGTCTGTCTAGGTCATCTTGTAGCCTCCTACTATCGTCCTCAGTTTCAATCCTCCTCATAATTTTTGCATCATCGGCAAACATTGAGAGAAACGATTCTATACCCTCTGGAAGATCATTTACATATATCAGAAACAGTATAGGTCCAAGGACTGACCCCTGCGGTACTCCACTCGTAACGTCTCGCCAATCTGAGACCTCACCCCTCACACTGACTCGTTGTCTCCTGTTACTTAGGTACTCCTGTATCCAACGGAGTACCTTCCCTTTCACTCCAGCCTGCATCTCCAGTTTTTTCACTAGCCTCTTGTGTGGCACTGTGTCAAAGGCTTTCTGACAATCCAAAAATATGCAGTCTGCCCACCCTTCTCTTTCTTGCCTTATTTTTGTTGCCTGGTCGTAGAATTCAAGTAACCCTGTGAGGCAGGACCTGCCATCCCTGAATCCATGTTGATGCTGTGTTACAAAGTTCTTTCGCTCCAGGTGCTCCACTAGCTTTCTTCGCACAATCTTCTCCATCATCTTGCATGGTATGCAGGTTAGGGACACTGGTCTGTAATTCAGTGCCTCCTGTCTATCCCCTTTCTTGTATATCGGGACTACGTTAGCTGTGTGTGTGTGTGTGTGTGTGTGTGTGTGTGTGTGTGTGTGTGTGTGTGTGTGTGTGTGTGTGTGTGTCGCACACCCAAAGAATTACAATTAACTGATGAAGGTTCAAGTAGCCAGACAAGATGTAACACTTACGTAAGAAAGGCGAACACGGTTGACCAGCGGACAGGTGCGGGGTACACGGGGACACACGCATCAAGTAACCAACCTGACTAACCTAAGGAGATGCCGCGGTACGCCGCGTGCAACACGCATGATTGACGTCTGCACTCACATGGAAACACCAACGAATAATGTTTTGTTATCTTTATTTAATTTCTATACAACTGGAGAATCCGTGTGGCTCCAGAAGGATCACACAGGCTGCTAATGCAACACCTTCTCACTAGCGTTCCCACTGTCAAGAAACTGCGCCCTAACCTACCCTACCAGAAGACCCAAGGACAGAAAATGGGACATTATATCACTTTCATTTTTAAAGCAGCGAATCACCTTCTGTGATTGATTGTTCAATAAACCCCTGAACTATATGTTTAACACATCTCTAAATCTGCCTGTCCATGGAGGACAGAAGAAAATGTATATATGCTGGTTAGCATTGTAAATGTGTGGCCACGTCTGTGGTAGAAAATAATAATACCATTTTCTAGTCCACCAGTTTTTAGCCTTAACTACGTCAACATGCGACGTAGTGTAAAGAGAACAAGTTGACTATTAACTATGACTCCAGACTGGTACATTAACTCTAAACAACTTTGTATACCGGGTTAATTACGACAAACATTTTACAGCTGCCAAACGCAGCAGCGGCCCCACTTGCCCACTCGTCAATATTGAACTGTAACTATAGGTGTTAGTTGTCAACTTATAGCAACATTAAACCGTAACATCTGTATGCAGGCGAGGAGTCACAATAACGTGGCTGAAATATGTTGACCAGACCACACACTAGAAGGTGAAGGGACGACGACGTTTCGGTCCGTCCTGAACCATTCTCAAGTCGATTGTGAATCGACTTGAGAATGTCTCAAGTCTGAGACATGAAAACATGAAATGAAAACATTTGTCTTCAATCTTCAATCAAGGTTTTTATGAGTACATCAATCCTGATGGAACCAAACTACCCATGTTGGTCTGTTCAGATACAAAGCGTCGCTTCACACATTAAACTACAACCTGTGATGGGTATGTGGGCCTGCGGGCCGCTCCAAGCAACAGCCTGGTGGACCAAACTCTCACAAGTCAAGCCTAGCCTCGGGCCGGGCTTGGGGAGTAGACGAACTCCCAGAACCCCATCAACCAGGTATCAACCAGGTATCTGGTGACCAAGCCTCCTACGGGCCATGACCTGTGAGTGACCAACACCCCCATCCATCCACAGATCACCAGAATCATCAACTGGTACTGATAATGGCCCCAAAGAGCCTCCACTTACGGGTTATTCATACCCGTGCCACCTTTTGGGTGGCTTAATCTTTATCAATCAATCAATCTAGGTGAGTACACACACACACACACGCTACAGGTCCCCGCAGTGAGTGGACAGCGCTCTCGGGCCGTAGTCCTAAACCAAAAGCCCGAGTTCGATTCCCGGTCTAGGCAAAAACAAATGTTTTTTTTCACCTGATGCACCTGTTCATTTAGCAGTACATAGGTTTCTGGGAGTTAGACAGCTGCTGTGTCCTGAGGCTGTGTGTGTGTTTATTATTTGTGTTTACTATACGTGTCTGCAGAGTCGAGTTGTTTACCATTACTATTACTCTTGATGGAAGACTTGGGAGGCTGGGCGCTGGTAACCTTGGGCTCCCCTCCCCCCCTTACTGTTCCCCATTACCATCCTCCCCATCACCCTCCTCCATCACCCTCCCCATCACCCCCCCATCACCCATTACCCTCTCCCTAATCCCCAATGCCCACAAGGCCATGTTCAAAATACCCATAAATATGCCACAGAAGACACACGTGGCCATGTATGACCCTAAGTGAGTAAGCTAAGTGAGTGACGCCAGTAAGCATAGTAAGCATAGTTTGTAAGTGTAGCGAGAAAGCGTAGTCAGTAAGCGTATCGAGTAAGCGTATCATGTAAGCGTAGCCAGTAAGCGTAGTAAGCATAGATGCGTCAGGGCAGCTGGTGATAGACTTAAGAGGGAGGGAATTATCAGGGGGAAAGCGCCAAGCCATTACGACTTGTCAATATAAGGATTAGAGATGGGACAGGGGGGAAGGAATGGTGCCCAACCACTTGTGGACCGTCGGGGACTGAGCACCGACCTGCATGTAGCGCCTCCGTCGCTCTACCGTCCAGCCCAAGTGGTTGGACAGCAGACTTAAGAGCCGCTGTGGCGAATACACTGTGGTGAAGAGCAGGCGACCCGAGCGGGTGCGCGGAGTTGATGTTGTTGTTATAGATTCAGCTACTCAGAACACAAAAGTTGCAAGTAGCACGGGCTATGGCGAGCCCGTAGTGGAGTGCAGGGAGCGGCCCCCCGACCACCAATATATCTGGTTACCCAACACACACACGTGTACCAAGTAAACATGGCGTCTAGGGGTCTGGTTTCATTGTCTCACTCCACTAGTGCCAGGGCTGCAGCCCTCCAGTGGTGACTTGGTAATTATGTTTACCCAGAGTGAGTCCCTTGATGTGGTTGACGGTGGGGAGGAGTGGTGGTGGTGGTGGTGGTGGTGGTGGTGTGGTGGTGGTGGTGGTGGTGGTGGTGTGGTGGTGGTGTGTGTGGTGGTGGTGGTGGTGGTGGTGGTGGTGGTGGGGAGGAGTGGTGTGGTGGTGGTGGTGGTGGTGGTGGTGGTGGTGGTGGTGGTGGGGAGGAGTGGTGTGGTGGTGGTGGTGGTGGTGGTGGTGGTGGTGGTGGTGGTGGTGGTGGGGAGGAGTGGTGTGGTGGTGGTGGTGGTGGTGGTGGTGGTGGTGGTGGTGGTGGTGGTGGTGGTGGTGGTGGTGGTGGTGGGGAGGAGTGGTGTGGTGGTGGTGGTGGTGGTGGTGGTGGGGGGGGGTGTGGGGGGGGGTGTGTGGTGGTGGTGTGGTGGTGAGGTGGTGGTGGTGGTGTTGGTTGTGGAGGTAGTTGCTGCGTCAGGGGGGCGAGGGTGTTGTAGTAGTCCCGAGGCGTCCCCACAAGCACCGAGGCGCCTCCACAAGTACCGAGGCGCCTCCACAAGCACCGAGGCGCCCCCACAAGCACCGAGGCGCCCCCACAAGCACCGAGGCGCCCCCACAAGCACCGAGGCGCCTCCACAAGCACCGAGGCGCCCCCACAAGCACCGAGGCGCCTCCACAAGCACCGAGGCGCCTCCACAAGCACCGAGGCGCCTCCACAAGCACCGAGGCGCCCCCACAAGCACCGAGGCGCCTCCACAAGCACCGAGGCGCCTCCACAAGCACCGAGGCGCCTCCACAAGCACCGAGGCGCCTCCACAAGCACCGAGGCGCCTCCACAAGCACCGAGGCGCCCCCACAAGCACCGAGGCGCCTCCACAAGCACCGAGGCGCCTCCACAAGCACCGAGGCGCCTCCACAAGCACCGAGGCGCCTCCACAAGCACCGAGGCGCCTCCACAAGCACCGAGGCGCCTCCACAAGCACCGAGGCGCCCCCACAAGCACCGAGGCGCCTCCACAAGCACCGAGGCGCCTCCACAAGCACCGAGGCGCCCCCACAAGCACCGAGGCGCCACCACAAGCACCGAGGCGCCTCCACAAGCACCGAGGCGCCTCCACAAGCACCGAGGCGCCTCCACAAGCACCGAGGCGCCTCCACAAGCACCGAGGCGCCTCCACAATCTCCGAGGCGCCTCCACAATCTCCGAGGCGCCTCCACAATCTCCGAGGCGCTCTCCGCTATGCTAGTAACTAAATAAATCCTTTGAAGAGGAGTCATCGCAATTAATGTGGTTAACACTACAATTGACGTTTGTTATATTACCTGAAACAACACTGTCATTATCATTATATCCTATTATCCTAGCCTCCTGGGCAGCGCATTTAATAATTTTACTTTACGTAATGGAGATGATATTCATGAGTCCACTCATCATTCACGTATTATTTATATTCATGACGAGTAGGTGGGCGTCGGGGCGGTCGACAAACACAGCGGCCCGGGCGCCACAATGCCCGCCTGCCTCCCCCATATTGCACGTGCTTCATATATTTTCCCAAAATGGCTACATCCGTCTACAGTTCTTTATAAATACTTTATGTGCTGAAAACCCCAGCGTGATAGACTCTTCCTGCCGCATAAAACATGCTAAGTATTAATTAATACCGATAGAAGTATGATATTATGACAAATACATGAAGAACTTTCCGTTACTGAGCGAAGAGAACTGGACAAAAGAAAATCAAATATCCGAGCGAGGGAAGAATAGGCTCCGTGGAGGGAGAAGAATATTTTCCAAATTCATGTAGAAAGGATTCGATTTCTCTTTTCAGAACATTCGGAAACCGTTCCCAAATGTCGCTCTGAAATTTTGATCCTTAGTGTAAAGCGTAATGTTTGTGGGCGGCCGGTGTGGTGTGGGCGGTCGTTGTTTGTGGGCGGCCGTTGTTTGTGGGCGGTCGTTGTTTGTGGGCGGCCGTTGTTTGTGGGCGGCCGTTGTGGTGTGGGCGGTCGTTGTTTGTGGGCGGCCGGTGTGGTGTGGGCGGTCGTTGTTTGTGGGCGGCCGGTGTGGTGTGGGCGGTCGTTGTTTGTGGGCGGCCGGTGTGGTGTGGGCGGTCGTTGTTTGTGGGCGGCCGGTGTGGTGTGGGCGGTCGTTGTTTGTGGGCGGCCGGTGTGGTGTGGGCGGTCGTTGTTTGTGGGCGGCCGGTGTGGTGTGGGCGGTCGTTGTTTGTGGGCGGCCGGTGTGGTGTGGGCGGTCGTTGTTTGTGGGCGGCCGGTGTGGTGTGGGCGGTCGTTGTTTGTGGGCGGCCGGTGTGGTGTGGGCGGTCGTTGTTTGTGGGCGGCCGGTGTGGTGTGGGCGGCCGGTGCGGCGTGGGCGGCCGTTGTTTGTGGGCGGCCGGTGTGGCGTAGACTCCGGTGTGGCGTGGGCGGCCGGCGTGGCGTGGACGGCCGGTGTGGCGTGGACGGCCGGTGTGGCGTGGGCGGCCGGTGTGGCGTGGGCGGCCGGCGTGGCGTGGACGGCCGGTGTGGCGTGGGCGGCCGGCGTGGCGTGGACGGCCGGTGTGGCGTGGACGGCCGTTGTTTGTGGGCAGCCGGTGTGGCGTGGACGGCCGTTGTTTGTGGGCGGCCGGTGTGGCGTGGACGGCCGGTGTGGTGTGGGCGGCCGGTGTGGCGTGGGCGGCCGTTGTTTGTGGGCGGCCGGTGTGGCGTGGACTCCGGTGTGGCGTGGGCGGCCGGTGTGGCGTGGGCGGCCGGTGTGGCGTGGGCGGCCGGCGTGGCGTGGACGGCCGGCGTGGCGTGGGCGGCCGGCGTGGCGTGGGCGGCCGGCGTGGCGTGGACGGCCGGCGTGGCGTGGGCGGCCGGCGTGGCGTGGACGGCCGGCGTGGCGTGGGCGGCCGGCGTGGCGTGGGCGGCCGGCGTGGCGTGGGCGGCCGGCGTGGCGTGGGCGGCCGGCGTGGCGTGGGCGGCCGGCGTGGCGTGGGCGGCCGGCGTGGCGTGGGCGGCCGGCGTGGCGTGGGCGGCCGGCGTGGCGTGGGCGGCCGGTGTGGCGTGGGCGGCCGGCGTGGCGTGGACGGCCGGTGTGGCGTGGGCGGCCGGCGTGGCGTGGGCGGCCGGCGTGGCGTGGGCGGCCGGCGTGGCGTGGACGGCCGGTGTGGCGTGGGCGGCCGGCGTGGCGTGGGCGGCCGGCGTGGCGTGCGCGGCCGGCGTGGCGTGGGCGGCCGGCGTGGCGTGCGCGGCCGGCGTGGCGTGGGCGGCCGGCGTGGCGTGGGCGGCCGGTGTGGCGTGGGCGGCCGGCGTGGCGTGGGCGGCCGGCGTGGCGTGGGCGGCCGGTGTGGCGTGGGCGGCCGGCGTGGCGTGGGCGGCCGGCGTGGCGTGGACGGCCGGTGTGGCGTGGACGGCCGGTGTGGCGTGGGCGGCCGGCGTGGCGTGGGCGGCCGGCGTGGCGTGGGCGGCCGGTGTGGCGTGGGCGGCCGGCGTGGCGTGGGCGGCCGGCGTGGCGTGGGCGGCCGGCGTGGCGTGGACGGCCGGTGTGGCGTGGACGGCCGGTGTGGCGTGGGCGGCCGGCGTGGCATGGACGGCCGGCGTGGCGTGGGCGGCCGGCGTGGCGTGGGCGGCCGGCGTGGCGTGGGCGGCCGGTGTGGCGTGGACTCCGGTGTGGCGTGGGCGGCCGGTGTGGCGTGGGCGGCCGGTGTGGCGTGGGCGGCCGGCGTGGCGTGGGCGGCCGGCGTGGTGTGGGCGGCCGGCGTGGCGTGGGCGGCCGGTGTGGCGTGGGCGGCCGGTGTGGTGTGGGCGGCCGGCGTGGTGTGGGCGGCCGGCGTGGCGTGGGCGGCCGGTGTGGCGTGGGCGGCCGGCGTGGCGTGGGCGGCCGGCGTGGCGTGGGCGGCCGATGTGGCGTGGGCGGCCGGTGTGGTGTGGGCGGCCGGTGCAGCAAGGTTATGACGAAGGGCCCACAGCTGCCTCAGGATGGCGGTGTCACAGCGTGGCCTCAGCCAGCTCCTTACAGTGTGTGGCTCTCTTCTTGTGCCTATAATCTTCTGAAACTCAATGTGTCTCTTTAATTCTGATAAAACTGTTCATTATATTCCCCCGTGGAAAGATGTGCAGGTCTCTATACATTATACCCCCATCAGTGTAAAACAAATGTATAACACTGAAACTATGAGATGTATAACATTAGAAGCTTTTGACAGTTATCTTCAAAATCTCAAACCAACTGAATCCTGTGCCTTTACTGATGGCTCTGTGCAGTTAGGCACTGGCAGAACAGGTTGTGCATGTGCAGTATATAAAGGGAATGAAATGATCATGTCTAGTACACAGAGACTGGACAACTGGGCAATCACGACATAGACTGAGCTATTGGGCATTTATCTAGCCACTGAGTAGTTAGTACCTTAAGCTCAATGGTGGTGGAGTTATTTTCTGTAACTCTAAAAGTGCTCTGCAGTCCTTAAATAACCCATCACAATGTATGTCGGAAGTAGCTTGTAATATTAAATGGAATGTAATTTTTGCCAATGATAATGACTCTTGTATAAAATTTGTGTGGATCCCATCCCATGTTGGAGTTGGAAAACATGACTTTTTAGCTCCATTGGCCAATGAGGCTTGCAGGAAAGAAAACATTGATTATGACTTTGGACTATCTAATGCAATTATTAGAAACATACAAATTAAAGAAATTAATTCAGATTTAGAAGAACTAAGAAATGGCCAGAGACCTGAAAGCTGCAGTATTAAAAGTTATGACAAGTTTTGTAATAATAGGCATTTGTATGGTCAGCACAGTAACCGGACCAGGCAATGTGATGTAGTCATTGTGGTAATTCGCCTTGGCTATAGACACATCTGGCAGGTTAGTGAGGCTGAGCCACTACCAGAATACTCAGATTGTAAACTCTGTGATAAACCTTTAAGCCATTCACTAGAACACTATATTGTTGAATGTGAAACCGTAAAGGACTTTAGACCTCCTGGCCTATTGTACCACCAACTGTGTAACTATTTTATTGAATCTGGTGTACTAGACGACATCCTAACAATTTATCCAAAATTTGCTTGTCCATTTTAAAGAATGGAGAGCAATTTTATTTATATTACTTCTAAGCTGCATCACTTATGAACCCATCCCTGCCCATATTTTGTCAATAACGATGTTAAGAATAAATAAGGGTCTGGTGGGACCTGTGGCTGACTTCCGGCGTATAAGGACAACTAATGTTTTAAAAAGATAATTCAATAAAGAATCTCAGATTTAAAATAAATAGAGTATTTTATCACAACACAGCACAACACATGCCAACCTTACCTTGCCTTACCTTGAGGTGCTTCCGGGGCTTAGTGTCCCCGCGGCCCGGTCGTCGACCAGGCCTCCTGGTTGCTGGACTGATCAACCAGGCTGTTGGACGCGGCTGCTCGCAGCCTGACGTATGAGTCACAGCCTGGTTGATCAGGTATCCTTTGGAGGTGCTTATCCAGTTCTCTCTTGAACACTGTGAGGGGTTTGCCAGTTATGTCCCTTATGTGTAGTCAACGCACCAAATAACACCTGGCAACGCACCAAGCAACAACACGCCACCTGGCAATGCACGTTAGACACCACCTGACAACGCGCAAGAGAAAAAAAACAATACCTGGCAACACGCGTTAGACAACACCTGGCAAAGCGCAAGAGAAGAAAAAACACGGCAAGACGCGTTAAACAACATCTGGCAACACGCGTTAGACACCACCTGGCAACGCATTAGACATCACAACACTTGGCAACGAGCCTTACACAACATCTATTAACGTAAAGACCAAAAATATTTATAAATTACTCTATTTCCATACTTTCCAGGCATTTCTTAGTGCACGAATTTGACACGTAAAACCCAATATTTTAAACTGATAAGGAAAGAAGGGAAACTATGAGGTGAAAGCATTAATTATCTCATATCAAAATATAGCATAATAAACATTTTAAGTAAAAACACAAAAGTTTACTAAAAAAAAAATAATTGAGTTATGAATGCAGAATGTTTACATCACAGGCGCTAGACTGGAGCACGCGGAGGTGAGGCAGTTCTGTTCCTCTATCTTTGTACTGAATTTGCTAAGTATATGTCGCTAAGGACCGGGCCGCGGGGACACTAAGCCCCGGAAGCACCTCAAGGATATCTGCGTTGAGTGAGTTCATAATACCGTATTCAAAAGAATATATATTTTCATATTTTTAGAAATTACTGACTTTAAAATCGCGCTATGGAAGATCATTATCAATGTATGGACGTTCAGTGAACGTGCAGCTCAGTGCTGGAATTCCAATACTAGTTAAGTATAAATATTTGTTGAGACGTGGGTGTAATGAAGTTGAACTTTAAAAAGATGAAACCAAAGAAAGATTCATATGTGTTGATGAACAGTGGAGAATGTCAACATAAAGCTAGGCTATGGCAATTAACCGGGTTTGCTAACATTTTGTTTCCCAGCGAAGTCCATAATGGAGGTTATCTTGAGATGATTTCTGGGGCTTAGCGTCCCCGCGGCCCAGTCCTCGACCAGACTTTTGTTACACATCCTTAGGAAGCAGCCCGTAGCAGCTCTCTAACTCAAACCTATTTACTTATTTAATAGGGACCAGGTACCTATTTCTGCTAGGTGAACAGTGCCTTCAGGGTGAAAGAAACTCTGCTCACTTGTTTCCGCCACCACCGGGGATCGAACCCGGAACCCTCAGGACTACGAATCCCGAGCGCTGTCCACTCAGCGGTAAGGCCCCATACTATACTTATACTACTATAACATTGAATAATAGTACAAATAGTTCTTGCAAAACAAAGTACGTTAAATAGTATTTAAGATAATTAAGGTTCTTGCCAAACAAAGTACATTATGCAGTTTCATTAATATGTAAGGTTTTCTTTTTCACTGATAACAGTTTGTGTCCCTGTCTTTGTTCACACTTTATTTCATCTAGATACCTATACAAGCCGAGCTGCTAGAGAAGATTGTAGCCAAGTCGTATTCGAGCTGTGATAACGTCTGTTAGTGTACTGATTTTGTTACTTGCTATTTTTTTTTTATTAACACATTTAGGTATATCTGCATTTATACTGCTATTCTAGACTATATGAAAAGGAGTACAAGTGTGTCAAGAAACGTGATGTTAAAAAATCCCAATCACACAGGATGGTTAGTCATACAGGGCCATGTGATAAGTAACTGCACTGGCAATATATATATATATATATATATATATATATATATATATATATATATATATATATATATATATATGTCGTACCTAGTAGCCAGAACTCACTTCACAGCCTACTATGCAAGGCCCGATTTGCCTAATAAGCCAAGTTTTCATGAATTAATTGTTTTTCGATTACCTAACCTACCTTACCTAACCTAACCTAACTTTTTCGGCTACCTAACCTAACCTAACCTATAGAGATAGGTTAGGTTAGGTTAGGTAGGGTTGGTTAGGTTCGGTCATATATCTACGTTAAATTTAACTCCAATAAAAAAAAATTGACCTCATACATAATGAAATGAGTAGCTTTATCATTTCATAAGAAAAAAATTAGAGAAAATATATTAATTCAGGAAAACTTGGCTTATTAGGCAAATCGGGCCTTGAATAGTAGGCTGAGAAGTGTGTTCTGGCTACTAGGTACGACATATATATATATATATATATTTATATATATATATATATATATACTGTGTATAATATATATATATATATATATATATATATATATATATATATATATATATATATATATATATATATACTGTGTATAATATATATATATATATCTATATATACTGTATATATATATATATATATATATACTGTATATATATATATATATATATAATATATATATATATATATATATATATATATATATATATATATATATATATATATATATATATATATATAGCCTCGGAGAAGAAATTACAGTATATATTTAAATATATATAATATAGTTATAATATATAGTTAACTATATGGAAATATTATATTTGTGTTGCTTGTTAATAAGATTTCTCTGGTGATGGTCTGGTTGTGTAAGGAGATTATATGCCCCTTGATGGAGCCTTGTTGTTTGTGCACACACAACAGAGTTTTTTTCACCCTGATGCCTCAGTTCACTTAGCAGGAAATAGGTACCTGGGAGTTAAACAGCTACTATGGGCTGCTTCCTGGGGATGTGTAACAAAAAGGAGGTCTGGTTCAGGACCGGGCCGCGAGGACGCTAAGCCCAGAAATCATCTCTCAAGATGCCATGTTACCTGGAGGCGTGTTTTGAACCCGGCCAACGTCCTCTGGTCCTCGGGCTCATCACCATCTAAATTTTAGAATACAATGTAGCTGTTTTAAGTTTCCGTTGAAAAAGTTGCTGTGCTGTTAGATAAATTAATTATATTGCAAAACGCTCAATATACGGCCTAAAAAATACGTTTTAAAAGTCGCGATCGAAAATTAGTAGTTAGGTCTATTTAAATTCGTTTCATTGTATGCTTTCTGTAACTGTTATTGGCAATTCTCGACATGTTACGCCAAGATGAAATGCAAATTTTCTGACATTGTTTTTTATTTAAGCTTATTTTTCTAAATAATTTAATTTTTTTAATTAAATAATACATATTATAAAGATCATATTTACATCAATATACAAGGGAAAATACTACATATATAGTTTATTTAATTCTCAGTAAACCAATTTTTTATATCATCACAGAACATGAGCCGTAAACCCCAAATGTTATACTTGATCCTGTCTCGCAGGAACTTCAATACCCTGTCCACTGAATAACACTCCTGCCTGCCTATCCACACACAAAAAATTTAATCAGAAAGTAGCAGTTATTGTATTCTTAATTTTCTTGCATTTTATTTCAAGATGGAACATTACAAACCTCATTAAATTCACTCTAATGTTTGGTCCACATAAAGCTTTAAGAGTGTCTGTAATCCAGTTACAAGAACAACGTTCTGCTTACAGAAATAAATTATATGCATTATTCTCAATTTCAGTACATTGGTCAAGCTCAATTTTTCTAAAATTTGTATGATGCTTAGGCTGGTGTTTATATGTTGCACAGTAATGCCTGTTGAAGCCTAGTGCTCATGTGTAGCGCAGTAATGCCTGTTGAAGGCTAGTGTTCATGTGTAGCGCAGTAATGCCTGTTGAAGCCTAGTGCTCATGTGTAGCGCAGTAATGCCTGTTGAAGGCTAGTGTTCATGTATAGCGCAGTAATGCCTGTTGAAGCCTAGTGTTCATGTGTAGCGCAGTAATGCCTGTTGAAGCCTAGTGCTCATGTGTAGCGCAGTAATGCCTGTTGAAGGCTAGTGTTCATGTGTAGCGCAGTAATGCCTGTTGAAGCCTAGTGCTCATGTGTAGCGCAGTAATGCCTGTTGAAGGCTAGTGTTCATGTGTAGCGCAGTAATGCCTGTTGAAGCCTAGTGCTCATGTGTAGCGCAGTAATGCCTGTTGAAGGCTAGTGTTCATGTGTAGCGCAGTAATGCCTGTTGAAGCCTAGTGCTCATGTGTAGCGCAGTAATGTCTGTTGAAGCCTAGTGCTCATGTGTAGCTCAGTAATGTCTGTTGAAGCCTAGTGCTCATGTGTAGCTCAGTAATGTCTGTTGAAGCCTAGTGCTCATGTGTAGCGCAGTAATGTCTGTTGAAGCCTAGTGCTCATGTGTAGCGCAGTAATGTCTGTTGAAGCCTAGTGTTCATGTATAGCTCAGTAATGTTTGTTGAAGCCTAGTGTTCATGTATAGCTCAGTAATGTTTGTTGAAGCCTAGTGTTCATGTATAGCTCAGTAATGTTTGTTGAAGCCTAGTGTTCATGTATAGCTCAGTAATGTTTGTTGAAGCCTAGTGTTCATGTATAGCTCAATAATGTTTGTTGAAGCCTAGTGCTCATGTGTAGCGCAGCAATGTCTGTTGAAGCCTAGTGCTCATGTATAGCTCAGTAATGTTTGTTGAAGCCTAGTGCTCATGTGTAGCGCAGTAATGTTTGTTGAAGCCTAGTGCTCATGTGTAGCTCAGTAATGTCTGTTCAAGCCTAGTGCTCATGTGTAGCGCAGTAACATGTGTAGCGCAGTAATTCCTGATGAAGCCTAATATTCCTGTGTAGCACAGTAATTCCTGTTAAAACCTAGTACTCTTGTGCAGCGCAATAATTCCTGTTGAAGCTTAGTATTCGTGTTTTGCGCAATAATTACTCTTGAAGCATAGCAAGTACTCATGTGTAGCACAGCAATTTGTATTGAAGCCTAGTATTCAAGTGTATATTCTGGTGTTAAACAAATACATTACAAGGATACCATTTTTGAACCTAGTATCCAAAAAGGTAATGTTTTCCTTTACTGCTTTCTTTGTATGGAAACTAGTTTACTTAAAACTGTGTTTGAAGTAAACAGTTTTCTTCTAAAATTAAATTACACAATCTTGTATCGATTTTCATCACATGTAAGTCACGTTTGTTTCGATATGCTCTTCAAGCACTTGAAAACTTCTGCAAGATTGAGAGCAAGATCTTATAGTAACAATTTTAAATAACTTGCTCGCTTTTGTTTATATTTTTCCAAACAGGTCTGATAGGAGACAATTACTGACTCCCAGAGGCCTCAAAGCATCAGTACAAAAAGCTATGACGTATTTAGATCCGAATCCTATGTATATGGGCAGCACAAAACGTTCCCCAGACTGTGCGACACAGTGGTTGCCAGGATCAGGATGAGTTTGGGTTACCGTTACCTGTGGCAGGTGGGTACAGGTGACGAACCTCCCAATCCTAAGCACCCCAGGTGTGAGCTCTGAGCAGGATCTGGGTCATGATATCGTACACTACATTATTGAATGCCCAGTCATTAGACCTTTGAGACCTGCCGCCATGAGGTACCTGGAGTTTTGCAGTCACTTTATTAATTCTCGTATACTTGAGGATATCCTCATATGCACCCATAATTGCCAGTGTAGGTCAGGTACCCTTGTACCACTGACCATCCTGCAAGATGGGGACTTTCAGTATCATTGCTACTTTACTCTCTCTGGCGTGTTTGATGATATCCTTATAATATATTCAAAGTTGGTCAGTAGAGAGTACTGATCACATGGCACTGTATGATGGGGGATCTTATAGCATTACGTAACTAGTAGCTGATCATTATGTACTTCCCTTTAGCTACTCTAAGGGTAGCTGCATAAATGCAGATATACCTAAATGTATTAATAACAAAATCGAGCAGGAACGTTTACATTTCGTTAGCAGTAGGATACGCCACCATCACTGTGGATAGAGCGACATCCGTGGACAAGTAGCGATATATTTTTTTGAGATATATACAAGAGTTGTTACATTCTTGTACAGCCACTAGTACGCGTAGCGTTTCTGGCAGGTCCCTGGAATACGATCCCTGCCGCGAAGAATCGTTGTTACAACCAAGTACTCATTTTACTGTTGAGTTAAACAGAAGCTACAGTTAAGGATTTGCGCCCAGTAAATCCTCCCCGGCCAGGATACGAACCCATGACAAAGCGCTCACTATTATGTATTAGCGATAAGACCTACCATTAATGTATGATGACTAACTGTAAATATGTAGCTCTTGTAATAGCACTTTCTCTGTAACTAGCTGACATTGTAACTATAAGGTGTGAAGGATAGAAGAAATTGTTTATGTAATAATCTAAGATGAGGTCTGATAAAAACCTTTTGTGCCCTCTGTAATGCTTTTGCGCTACCGCTCACAGGATGAGTATGGGGTGCACAATAAACTAGCCGCCTTCGGCGGCAACAATCAAACCCATGACAAAGCGCTCGCGGCACGCCAAGCGAGTGTCTTACCACAACAAATAAAGTGGGTAGAAATTGCCTAAGCTACTCTATCCCTTTGAGATGTGTTTTTTCCTTGTCTCAATAAACATACTTGAACTTGAACTAACAATTAATGTTAGCTATTGTTGGGGTGCGAAAATAATTATTTTTAATAACGACAGCAGTATCATCAAATATATTTAAATACGTTTATTGATATTTAACGTTAACTTTGCTATTGGATCTTTTGGATCCTAACTCTTGAGAGGTACGGTGAAACGTGTCTTCTGTCCTGCACATACAAGCCACTCATTATAATAGAAACAACGAGTACGTTATATATATAAAATTAATACGGACACTATATCCATCCATGTATCTATATAATACAGCCCATCGTGGTAGAGCGGGTTCAGTGGTAGAACGGTGTTGTTGTCGTGTGATTAGTAAGAGAGTTTATTACTTAACATTGCTGAAAACTAATTGGATTCCTAAAAATGAGAATCAATTATAAAAAAAGTTTTATAAAATCATAAAGAGGAAGGTTTGTGCTCTCAAATACCTTAATTAAAGGAACCATGTATGTCGGATGTGAACGTAACTGATGATTTATAATGAGACCAAATTTCAGGAGAGTTATCAGTGTTATGCGTAAAGAAAGAAATAAGGCGAGAGTCAAAATATAGCCTCACCCCAGTAGCCTCTCCCCCAACACTTCACACACCAAGGGCCAGACTCACGAAGCAGTTACGCAAACACTTACGAACCTGTACATCTTTTCTCAATCTTTGGCGGCTTTGTTTCCAATTATTAAACAGTTAATGAGCTCCGAAGCATCAGGAGGCTGTTTTATAACAATAACAACAGTTGATTGGGAAGTTTTCATGCTTGTAAACTTTTTAATAACTGTAACCAAAGTCGTCAAAAATTGAGGAAAGATGTACACGTTCGTGAGTACTTGCGTAAGTGCTTTCGTGAATCTGGCCCCAGCTCTCTTCCCCAATACTCGCCAAATAAACAACATTGCATGCAGTTTGATAATCAAGATATGTAGTAACGATATTTATGTGTGTTCTGTCCTCTAGCATATACATATATGTACATATATATAGAGGCCTATAAATTATAAAATAAAACTTACCCGAGAGTCAATGTAGGCTCATTCGTGAGCTAAATATCTACCGTAAACTTCTTTCTCGTTTGCTTAAAATTTTTTGGTAATTACTGTTATACTAAGTCAACAATTACCGTTTTTAATATAATTTATTTATTATACATCCTATAGCATAAGCCGTTTGGCTGATCCCCAAAGACGCATCCATCAGTGTTAACGTACTGTCGTTTGTATAAATAGGTTTGCCCTCATATATAAATTAATATTATTGTATACTAAAATTATGTGCAAAGTTTGGAATAAGGCTAGGCAGCCCGTCCTCATCCTCAAATGCCAAATCCTCGTTAATCCAGTCGGTAAACCCCCTCGTTTATGATTGAAAAACGGTTTACACATAACTCACAATTGATGCCGTTCATTTATTTCATGAACAGTGCTTCGCTGACAACCTCTGTTGGAACCACAACGCTGCAAATGCTTCACCCAAGTACTTACAATATAACACACAGAGATCACACTAACGTGATGCAGCAAATGAACAAATCCACAAGGGGGATTTTACCCTGTCGTAGCTCAGTCGATTAAGGCAGTGTCTGGGATGCTCCCGGACGCAGGTTCGAATCCTCGTCACGGCCCTTGTGGATTTGTTCACTTACAATATAAATAATCGCCAACAGAACATAAACACCTAATCTAACGTAACCTACGCTAAATTTAATATATAACAATGTTAACTTATATACGAGAACAAATAAATTTGTAGTATACAGTATTTTAAAATTGATGAATGCGTATTGGGGGGGGGGGGGGAAGGGGGGCTGTCGCCGCTCTAACGAGCCTAGCGTGAGGATGGGTTGCAGCGTTGTGTCCAAGTGTTTTTCATTCCATCCCATCCGCCCTGTTTAGTACTTATAGTACCGATGTGGACCATCGTACAGTGACCGTAATGTTAGCACTAGGATCGCCGGTTGTTAAATGGTAGGTGGTCAAATAACTTAATAAAAACAACAGATATTGAATTATGTCTAATAGCGGTTACGTTTTATTTTGATTTAATGTTTGAACACGAAGCGCGCACACAGGTGTGTGTGGATACGTAGTTCTGTGGACCGGGGTTCAATTCCCAACGCCGGCAGAAACAAATGGGTAGTTTCTTTCATCCTCATGCCCCTGTTACCTAGCAGTAAATAGGTACCTGGGAGTTAGACAGCTTCTATGGGCTGCTTCTTGGGTGTGTGTGTGAAAAAAAAAATCAGTTGAATGATAGACAGTTGAGAGGCGGGCCGAAAGAGCAGAGCTCAACCCCCCGCAAGCACTACTAGGTGAATTTCACACACAAACACACACTTGCTGACTAATTCCCTCCATAATCCACATTAATATTTCCAGCTAGTTGCATGTGATGTGGTTGTGGTTGGCGCCTCGCTTGGAGTTGCCTGGCTGCAGCTGTCCCGTTCTTCATATCACTTGGCTGATGAGGTGAGCAGCGCCAAGCACCAGCAGCTGACATACTGAGGGGGGAACACCCAGGACATGCCTGCACTGGGCGTCTCTTGGCCGAAGTAAAACGTCTAGAAGAGCGAGACGACCTACACATCACGCAGGTAAAAGTTAATGTTTTAGAATGTTAATGTTAAAAGAATTTAGGAATGTAATATACATGTACGTGCTCAATATATAATATTCTAACACTAATTAGTATTTTTGGCTAAATGCTTATTACTAAAGTTATTATTAAAATATATGATATTTGTTTAAGTTTTGATGTTAGTCTTGTTTATAGGTTAATATTGTTCCTGATGGTGCAGTTATAATCGTTAGGCCTACCGCCTAGTTCGATGTTTCATTCAGTTCAGAATCAAAACTGAAACTGTAAATTTCTGAATTCGTTTCGTTAACTTTTTTTCAGAAGCAACCTAAAACCTTCGACTTTTATTTTACAAAGAAGATATTCTGCCTGTAGTTTCTTGGTAACTTTTCTTTTTAAACATTCTTAAGGACAAATGTATTTGCGCCGTAAAACACAACATTTTATAAATCTTGGGAATTGACGAGGTGGTTGTTTATCCATGAGGCTTTTAGCGAATTTGGTTATTTCGTAAAGGTTTAGCAAGATGGCCATTCAATGTATCAATGAGCATTCAGGCTTCTTCTCTTTATTAATAAGGGCGAAGCGAAAGGATGAGTGTCAGTCTCTGGTTAGTTTATCTAAACCGATAGTAAATAATGAAGTGGAATTGACTGTTGCGTTGACAACATATGGAAATTGTTTAAGTATGCAGGTCACCTGCTGGTGCAGACTATATATATATATATACACACACGTACATATACATATTAGTATATTTTGATAGCAGTCTTTCTTGTAAACATATGTTGTTGAATATGACTGAAAAGGTAAGATTAATGATTCTAACACGAACCTTCTGAATATTTCTTACGTTTTTCTTCACTCGGGGGTAATTGAAAAATTAACTCTCCAAAGTTCATTTTCTCTTTTATTTATGGCAGACGCCTAAAAGCGTTTCGCAAGGACTTCTCACATTTTCAAAGACAGGTTTACACATATCATTTCATGCTGATATGCGTTTTGGGTGAGGTGATATGACACAAATGTTTTTGGGTGAGGTGACAAAAGCCAGAACACGAATCAATATTCTATCCACTTCAAGACCCCGAACCAACATAGAAGCAACAAGAGAACATATGGGCCAATAGGCCTTCTGTAGTTACTTTCATTCTTATATTCTCATATGCTATATACATATACACACATTGATTCGTGTTCTGGCTTTTGTCAGTGTTACTGCTCGTTCGCACAGCTCGTAGAGTATGGGACTTTTTTTTTTATTAATACATGAGGTACATCTACATTAGTGCAGCTACCCTGGACTATATGAAGTGGAGTACAGTGTGTCAAAAAAGCTAACTTGGTGATGCTAAAAAATCCCCATCACACAGGATGGTTAGTTCTACAGAGGCATGTGATGGGCAGTCTGCACTGGCATACTCCAGAAGCATTTTGAGGATGTCATCAACACAAGATTGAATAAGGCAGCAGTGGTAATAAAAGTCCCCATCTCGCAGGATGGTTAGTCATACAGGGCCATATGTTTAGTAGCCTGCACTGGCAAATTTTGGGTACACTGTGAGGATATCTTCAAGAGAATGAATAAAGTAATTGCAAAGTTCCAGGTACCTCATGCCAACTGGTCTGAAAGGTCTAATAACTGGGCATTCAGTGATGTAGTGCGGGAGATCATGCCGTAGTTCCTACTCACAGAGTTTGTAACTGGAGTGCTCAGGATTGGGAGATCTGTCAACCTGCAGCCACCTGCCACAGGTAACGGTAACCTAACCTGATCCTTGCAACCACTGTGTCGCAGTCTAGTGGACGTTTTGTGCTGCCCATAGATATAGGTTTCAGATCTGAACAGATCATAGCTTTTTATACTAGTACTGTCAGGTCGTTGGGAGTCAGTAATTTCTTTCCTATCAGATCTGAGTGTTTGGACCAATACAGTTTTGACAGCAGAGATGGAGATACCTAGATCTAATTCAACTTCATCCTTGTTGCACGCTAATTTGACTGCAATGTCTGTCTCATTATGATGGGTTATATTTGTGTGAAGGTATCCATACAAAGGAGATTCGAGACCCTTTACTCTATGCAGCAAATAGATCATTTATAATTGGGAGTATGAGGTTCTTGCTGTTGATCTTCCAAGAGAAGTTTTCGATTGCTTGAAGAGCAGACTTTGAATCACAAAATATTATTCCTCCTCCAATGTGTTTTAATGTACTGGTAGCTAGGTGTAATGCTGCTAGTTCTGCTTGTTTGGAGGTCAGCCAGTTGTTTAACCTGACACTGAGTCTTTGTGCAAATATTATTTCTATAAAACCTACATGCTGCTGCAGTCCGTCCAGTAGAGGATTGGACTGAGCCGTCGGTGTAGACACAGTGCTCGTGAGATCTTAAATTCTCGATGGAGGAGGCAATTGTTTCAAGTGTGACAGCTTTGAGAAGAGCAAGATTCTCATTACCTTTCTTGGTGACAGGTGTGTATGATACTTGAATGGTGGGGGTACAGATAGAGAGGAATATCAGAGACAGGTAGATTGCACTTAAAAGGAATGTTAAGTTTAATGAGATTGTAGGCATTGTTGCTCAGTCATTTACCATAAAAGGAGTGAGTTGGTATGTCGGCACCAGTCAATAGGGTGTTAACAGCACTAAATAATTTGTCTCTGAGCAATGCAGATGTAGGATCTCTCATGACTTTAAGGCAAAAGGTTGTGTTGACTTGCATGATTCTCTCTAGTATGGTTGGAAGCTGCAGTAGGGGCAGTGATAAACATAGTCTATGGTTAGTCACTGTCTGTTAGTCTCTAAGTATGCTCTACCAGAGTGCCCCGTGAGTCAGTGCAAAACAAAAAGGTAATACAATACTCGGATATAGAAACATGCACATAAAAAAATATATAATATAAATTCATGAATATTCATAAATGTATCAATATAATCAGATGGCAAAATCAACACAATGAAATATATAAATTCTCTCCAGATAAAATAATCTATTACAACGAAACTAGATTAAGCGTTAACAGAGTTATCAGACATGATGTTCCCCAACTGAGTAGCTCCAGCACACTGAGGTCTCCCTCCGACGCTCTACCCACAATTCCCTGCTCCCGCCTCCATCCAGGAAAGGGGGTGGTAAACAAGTTCTTTTACTTAAATACAACAAATGAGAACAAGCGTTCTCACAGGGATGTGAATGAAAATTAAAATATAACTGCAATATGTAAATAATATAAGTTACAATGCCACGTGCTTAATCACAGGAAAATAATAATAATATGAATATTAAAAGGTGACATCTAGCAACTGCCACAAATGTACACATACAATTATTTGGTCCAAACTGACCAGATTAATACAGGAATAATACCTGTGGACACATAGCAAGCCTGCACCATGCTTCACTATGTTGCGAAGCTATTCTACACATTTCAAAAGTATACACATATGCATATAAAGAAATAATTTCAAATAATTTTTATTTCATATTAATGTATCCATAAATAGGGATACGAAACAGTCACCTCACCCAAAAACTTTTGCGTCATATCACCTCACCCAAAACGTAGATAACCATGAAATGATACGTGTAAACCTTTACGGGCTCACCATAGCCCGTGCTACATGGACACTTCGTCCTGAGTAGCTAAATCTGAAACAACAACAACAATGTGTAAACCTGTCTTTGAAAATGTGAGAAGTCCTTGCGAAACGCTTTTAGGCGTCAGACCATAAATAAAGAATGAGAAAATGAACTTTGGAGAGTTAATTTTTCAATTACCCCCTACAGTGAAGAAAAACGTAAGCAATATTGAGAAGATTCGTGTTAGAATCATTAATTTTACCCTTTCGGTTATATTCAACAACGTATAAATATATATGCGTTATCAAATTATAAGGTAATAAAACCATGCAAACACCAAACCAACGAAGCCATTAATATCCTGACAATGTTTTACATCAAAATTTACCTTGAAAATATCCTCAGGAATAATGAGTAGACCTTTCACAAGCGATCGCCATACGAACCTTCAAGCCACCTTGTATGGACATACATACACATATACATATATACATACATACAATTAGGAAGTGATGTGGTAGAGGCTGACTCCATACACAGTTTGAAGTGTAGATATGATAGAGCCCAATAGGTTCAGGAACCTGTACACCTGTTGATTGACGGTTGAGAGGCGGGACCAAAGAGCTAAAGCTCTAAAGCCCCCGCAAGCACAACTAGGTGAATACATACATACACATGTGCCGAAATGTAATTGTTATGTTTTTAACACCAGCAAATGTTAACATTTAACAAATGTTATGTTTCTCTGTGCTTTACATAGGCTGGGGGATCAGCAGACAGCTGGGCTACTGCACCACCACCACCTGCTGCACGTGCAGCCAAGATGTCCTCTGACACAGCTGCTGGAGATGAGACGGAGAGTCTGCAGCCTCCCGGACTCCTTCAGCCTATTTGTACATCACTAAACACGTCAGTTAATCCTGCTGTCTCTCAAGAATCCTTAGCAGCCACCCAAGAAGCACCGTTTTATAATCACGATGATGAAGTTAAGCGAAAGGACAATAACGAGTGTTGTCTCATGATTGTAAACAGTTACTCGCTGGCGCCGAGTGAGACTATGTTACCATCTGAGAACAACAGTAATTCTCATGACGTAGTCAGTGTTGTAGCAATAACAACCAGTGAGACTGATGGCAGCGATAGTTCAGTATGTATTCTTGAGGAGCAGGTAGAGGCTGGTACTAAGCATGTCGCAGGAGAAAATAAGGCCATTGCAAAATCTTGTTCTGCTGCTCGTGAGAGTGTAAATATATTAGAGATTCCTCAGAGAAACCTCCACAAGGCGCCGAGAAAATCGATTTTTGACACTAGTAGTGATTATAATGTCAGAGAGATTGAAATTGTGACTCAAGAAGAAAGGTGTGACTTCAACACTCCCACGTCTTGTAAGGAGGGAAATGGACTTCTTTTTTCTAACAAGAATTCCAGATTTCCAGATTCTGAGAGGAGTAATAGCCCAGTATATCATAAGGAAGACGTCTGTGATCAAAGTTTTCGTAAACAAATAGATACATACAAAAATAGGAAGAGATATTCTCTTGGAGAATACAGGTATCCAAAACTTACCCAAAATACCATTTTTAATGAAAGAATTGAAGAAATGAGCTACAGAATAGAGCAGTGCCGATACCCAATACCCCAAGCTACACCTGTAAGTGATGAAGTGTTAAGGGAAACGGCTTTCAAGAACAGTGTCTCATCGAAACCTGGAACCAATCATCGTAAAAACTTCCGGAGAGTATTTGTACAGGAGAACAGTTGTCAGGATCGTAGGTTTTACGAGAATATGGGCGCTGAAAATACAATATCTGATACACCCTCGACCAGAGTTCAGCCATGTAGTTCGCAGGGCTATATCGATATGATTACGTGTGATCGAACGCATATACCAACTGCTACCGCTGTCAGTGGTGCATTTATTTACAACTATAAACGACGCTCTATTGTTTTAAACACTAAGGATAACCATAGATATACTGTGGCTCCTAAACAAAGACAAAAAGCTATTTATAATGTGTCTCAGGGCTCGTATCTAGACTGTTTATTGTCAAAGAAGGAGTTAACTTTGCTTGATGATGTTCTGGGCAGTATAGTAAATATACAAAAGAGCAGGCCACAAGGGTGTCCATCAAACAGTTCTTCTAGGCAATTTTTAGGACATGAAAAGCATGATGGAAAGGACGTCCCAGCGTGGGAAAAGCATTCAGGAACACAGGTGCCAGCATTGGACAAACACCCAAGTGCAGTACTAGAAGAGCCTGAGTGTTGGCCGAGTATGCAATATGCAAGAACTAAATTGGATAATTTAATTATTTCATCAGTCTACACTGTTAACAGCGCCTGTGACAATGAGTGTGTCAACGAAAAAGAGCTTGCAACTTCAGCTAATTCTCAGCATTCTTTGGGGAATTATGTCAGCAGTTCCCAAGCAGATGAGAAAGTACATTGTAATCGACACCTTGAGAATGAAACATGTAAGTCCCAAAAAGTTAAAGGAGTTGTCAGTCCAACAAGAAAGAGGACTGAAGAAGATGATGTGAGTCCTAGTGGCAGTAAGGAGACGCTTGTGGATGCCTCTCCAAGATGGCAATTAGAACAGTGTCCCTTACTGAGTTGCAGTGTTTTCTCTGGACATGAAGCAGTTTATGAGATTGACCTTTCATTGCTAGAAAATTGGCAGGACCAGATACCTCTGGTGGCTGTGGATGTGGTATCAGGATACCATATAGTCATCCCTATTGAGCTGGCTCGTCGCATCCCAATCCCGTGGGATATTATTCTAGGAACGAGTGAGAGCAAGAATCCTGCTGGTTGCTGGGAGAATACTATCCCTGGCAAGAAAAACTGTATAGCTTCCTCCTCCTCTAGATCGTCATCATCATCTTTATCATCATCAAGGTATCAAAAGGTAAGTGGAGTTCATTGGTGGAAATAATTTTGTTTGATAAATTAATAAAATAACATTAGAAATAAATAATATTAAATGCAAAATTTGCAGGTTATATAGTAGTGGACTTCGGTGGCCCATAGTATAAGAAAACTAGAATAAAAAAAAAACTGCCTATGCCATCTTGAGGTTATCTTGAAATGATTTCGGGGCTTGGCGTCCCCGCGGCCCGTTCCTCGACCCGACCTGGCCTCCTTTTTGTTTCACATCCCCAGGAAGCAGCCCGTAGCAGCTGTCTAACTGCCAGATACCTATTTACTGCTAGGTGAACAGTGCATCAGGGTGAAAGAAACTGCCCATTTGTTTCCGCCTCCACAGGGGGATCGAATCCGGAATGTTAGGACTACGAATCCCGAGCGCTGTCCAATCAGCTGTCAAGTCCCCAGGTATTTTCTAGCCTTGTTGCCTATATGTGGCAGTTGCTATTTATATCCACCCATACTCATATAATTCATATGGTGTCTCTTCTGGTGTGTCTTATATTCGCTTGAATCACGTGGTCATAATCAAGAGCTCCCCCGTCTGTCATGTTACCCGGTAATCTTCCATAAATTAACAATTCTGTTCCCGAACCAGTATTTACCCAGGTCTTTCCTAAATCTACACTTATCCAATTTATATCCATTGTTTCGTTCTATTGTGTGTGTTGATATATTTAATACCTTTTAATATTCCCCTTGTTTTGCCTATTCATCCACTTGTATACCTCAATTATGTCACCACTAACTCTTTGCCTCTAACTATGCAGGAATAACTGCTGAGCGCATTCAAATTAATTAACGTCCATTTCATAGTATGGCAACCAAAGTTACTGCACAATCTAAATGGCGCCTTATAAGAGCAAGATATAGCTGAGAATTTAACTCTGTAAAATTATACCTTCAGCTGAACAAATCTATATTTAAAGTGTGGACGGATTGTCAGGTTTAGTTAACCCCCAATACTGTGAGCCTCTTATCTTTCTAAGCAATCATTCGTGTGGCAATGTAGTAAAAGGTTTGATCAAGTCAAGGTACACAGCGTCGTGATCCTCTCCACTATCAACTGCCTTAAAAATGGTGGAAAAGAATGAAAGCAAATAGACTAAGAAATTTCTTGGGTAGGATAGATTGGACGGACTTAAACATGGGAGGTGGACCGGTTTTGGAACGGGATGTGAACCTAGGGATGGGTAAAGGAACAGGGGGATTGCGATGTAGATTCAAAATATAACTTAATTAAAAATATTGTAAGCAAAGCCGAGGAATGTAATACATCACATAAATTGATTAGATTAAATAATAATGACCCCAAATGGATAACTACAGGTATGAAGAACCTTATATATTAAAGACAGGTTTATTCAAAACTGAGGCAGTTCAGATTACTGAAAATAACGACGAGATGAGTAGTATTTTAAATAAATATTTTGTCTGTGTATTTACTAAAGAAGAACTTAACATTATGTCTGCAGCCGAACAAGTTTATATTGGTGAGAAAGTGGACAAGTTGACTAGTTTAGTAGTTACAAGAGAGGATGTTATTAAACAAATAGAAAGACTCAAGCCAAACAAATCCCCAGGGCTGGACGAAGTGTTTACATTCTTTAAGTACCCTGGCAAAGAAGACCTTTGCGAGCCATTTTCTAGCATATTTAATAAATCATTAGAGTCAGGCAGAGTGCCGGAGTCGTGGAGGGTTGCTAATTTGATAAAAAATTCAATAAAAGAGATCACTTGCGTCGAAATATTGTGGCCAATTAGCTGTTGTCTGTTGTGGAAAATTTGCTTAAATTGATAATTTCAAAAGCCATTCGTGTTCATCTTGAAGAACATAGATTAATAAATGATTCAACCCATGGTTTTACTGAGGGCCGCTCATGTTTGATAAGTTTGCTACTATTCTGTTCCATCACAATTGAGGCCGTTGATAGTGGAAAGGTTTGTGACGTTGTGTACCTTGACCAAGCTTGTGTGCCAAGCGTTTGATACAGTGCCATATGAAAGATTGATTAAAAAGACCGAGGCTCACAGTATTGGGAGGTACTATATTATGGATTAGGGCATGACTATAGCAAAGGAAACAGAATATAAATGGATTAATGTCAAGAGTGGGAACTGTTGTAAGTACAGTGAATCAAGGTTCTGTCCTGGGACCTTTGTTGTTTATAATATATAAAAATGATTTAGATTTAGGATTGAGCAGAACTGTTTGCATATTTACCAACGATACGAAATTCGGGAGAGATATAAACTTGTAAGAAGACTCAAACTCATTTCAAGACGATCTAGATAGCATTTTAAAATGGTCAAAAGACAACCAAGTCATACATATATGACAATGTTGGAAGTACTGTCATGAATTTTTTAATTAGAAGATTATTACCTTTCAACAAAAATCATTATTTTATTAAAACTACTATTAACAGCATTCAAAGGATTTTTTGTCAATTTTATATATATCAGAATCACTTAAAAACTCATTACCTTTTTCTATATAGTCACTTTCGTTCATAATTACAACAGCATTAGATTTGTCTGCTTTAGTAACATTAAATTTTAAATTTTTCTTTAAGTTTTCAAAATTTTAAAGAAGCTGTGGATAGTTTGTCAATATACTTTTAGACATTACTCCATACACAATACCTTTCCATATATTATCATCATTTGGCAAGTCACTGTTGTTTTTTCCAACTTACAAAACATTTAGCAATTTAAACACTATTTATAGTTCATGTGGCACTGAAACTTAGGCCATAACCAAGAGCAGTAGTGGTGCTTCTGTCCAAGACTATCAGACAATTTTGTGATCAATTTGTCCGATACCAACAATTGTTGAGTGATATGTACACCTTTACTCATCTCATCATCATAGAATATGTACACCTTTACTCATCATCATAGAATAAAACAAGCTGTATTCCCGCCAAACACACACCGAAACTACGACGTTGGTACAACGTTCGAACAAGTTTTAACACCTAACCAGTTATAACAACCAATATAGCAAGTTGTAACAACGTTCTAGTACGTCATAAACACGTTAAGCCAAGATGTAACAACTTTATTACAAGTTGTAACAAGCGGAAAATAGAGACAGTTTCGGTTTGTGTTTCCAGGAATTGTTTGCTTCTCAGGGCTTTAATGATATATATATTCCTGAGTTTATAGATAAAATTAGTGCAATATATATAGTCTAGGTTTCAATTTAAAATACCATAAGTTATTTATTGATAACTTATTGATAAAGCCAATCAAATTGCACGTAACACATTCTATAGTTTGAAAAAGAAAGAAGAATTCAATATTAAGAATACATTAATTCTGCCATTTCATGATAATTTCAATGAAATTCCTTAAGTACTAAAATAATTTAATATTAATGTAGCATTTAGGAATCTTGATATCATTAAAAAACATTAAAAATTCACCTGGCAGTTGCAATGGATGTGTGCATAAAGTTCCAAGTAAAAATTGTAATACGTTCTTTGTTGGCCAAACAGGTAAACATCTTGACCAGAGAATAAAAGAACATAAATATAGTATAAGAACAGGTCAAGAATCCACTGTATTATTTCTTCACGTAAGAGATTGTAATCATTCAGTTGACTGGACTAATTCATGCAAAATTCTGGAGTGTAAATCAGTTACTGAAAGAAATATTATTGAATCTTTATTTATAAAAAGTAGTGAATTAGATAATATTAATAATAGTCCAGAATTATATCAATTAGATAACTTTATAATTGGTAAGATTTGTGATAGGTATACAATTATGTAAACAGTAAGTGTATGTGTAGTACATTCCAAGAATGAAGGAATACCCAGTTAATTTCCACTTAATCATCTCACCTTCATGTCTCTTCCATTAATCAATATTTTAGCTTATGGCTCTTTATCTAGTCAGGTGTAGTTGGGTATGTAATCCCAAACTCTTTACCTCATCTGTCTGTATTTATGTGGCGAAACAAGAAACGTTCGGAAATTTAGTTTCATTTTCCTAGTGGATATATACATATATAACTGAAAACTCACACCCTAGAAGTGACTCGAACCCATACTGCCGAAACTGTACATACCAGTTGCGTTGCTCCTGGCAGTATGGGTTCGAGTCACTTCTGGGGTGAGAGTTTTCAGTTGCTTATAGTCCTGGGGATCATTCAGACTTGTTCGCATATATTATATATATATATATATATATATATATATATATATATATATATATATATATATATATATATATATATATATATATATAAAGGGGGGTGGTAGGAGAAGCGTACACTCTTACGTATTCAGAGTTAAATGGCAAGTTTTTCCCTGAATGCTCTGTGTTCCCTTCTCTGAGGCTGTGGGTCCCTATAATTGCACCAGAGGTGGTACCCCCCTATATATATATATATATATATATATATATATATATATATATATATATATATATATATATATATATATATATATATATAACCATGAAAGAATATGGAAAGATGAAATACTTGATCGTGTTAGTGTACGTTTCATCATATCTTCAGAGATAATGACAATTTGTCATTATTTACTTTACAGACAGTGTGGAAGAAGTGCAGTGATCGTCCTCAAAAGCGACAAAAGTCGGGTCGGTGGCACTTCTCACCAACGTCGAAGTCTTGTAAACAAAGCACTCATCGAAGACGCCAGCATCCTGCCTCGTGTACTGACAGAGGCCAGAGGGGGCTGAGCACCACCTCCAGTAAAAAGTTACCACGAAGAGGTAAGCGTTTGTTAAAATTAAGAAAGCGAATTATAACTTGTTCCAGCTATTCCTCAAGTGTCTCAGATAGTCACTCTTCCAGTCTTAAGAAGTCTTGTAGTTCTTCTAAATCGCGACGAAAGATCAGTAAACCGCTCAAAAGAAAACCCAGTAATCTGGATGCCCTGCAATCAAGAGACTATCCTACTGTCAATAAGAGAGAATGCACAGCCAAGTGGGTGGCTGAAGATAATAAACTGATTGCGGCAAACCTGCGCACGAAGATTGTGACTTGTGCAGTGTGCCACACAATGGTGGAGAGTGCACAGTCTGCTGCCCAGCACCACAAGGCTCAGCACGGCACCATCACCACCTGCCCCATGTGTCCTGCCTCCTTACATCCCACTGCTGTATTTCTTCACCTCAAGCGCCATTACATGGGCATATTTCATAAAACAACGAAGTCAAACACTTAAGAGGAACGTTACTTGTGAGAATAAAAAGGAATATCTTTATTAAGACTCTTAGAAGTCTTTCATTTTAAGTTTTCCTTTTAACCCAAATTGAGTGAAAAGTTTCCGACCAAAATATTACCTCATGAGTTAGGATGTACATACTTACTGACCATTCATGTCAACATTTTTAGCTCTGCGACCAACCACTTGGACTGGATGGTAGAGTGACAGTCTTCCATCCAACAGGTTGGCATTCCACTATTCCTCTCCTTCGTCCTATCCCAAATATTTATCCTCATATTCCTTCCAAATGCTATATATTGTACTTGTAATGGCTTAGGTCTTTCTCCTGAAAATTTCCCAACATTCAGAGCTCATCACACATAACTGATGGCAAATCAAATTCACATCCAAATATGTATTCCACTTGATTTGTGAGCCTTTGTTAAACAGAATGGAAAGTTTTACTCCAACATCAGTACCAATTTAGGATATTTATAATAACAAATATATGAAAACAACATAAAAGAAAAACTCAATGTTCTTTGATTTGACCCGCTCTGAATATATATATATGTTGTACCTAGTAGCTAGAACATCGTACTCGGCCTGCTATGCAAGGCCCGATTTGCCTAATAAGCCAAGTTTTCCTGAATTAATATATTTTCTCTAATTTTTTTCTTATGAAATGATAAAGCTACCCATTTCGTTATGTATGAGGTCAATTTTTTTTATTGGAGTTAAAATTAACGTAGATATATGGCCGAACCTAACCAACCCTACCTAACCTAACCTAACCTATCTTTATAGGTAAGGTTAGGTTAGGTAGCCGAAAAAGTTAGGTTAGGTTAGGTAGGTTAGGTAGTCGAAAAACAATTAATTCATGAAAACTTGGCTTAATAGGCAAATCGGGCCTTGCATAGTAGGCTGAGAAGTGCGTTCTGGCTATTAGGTACGACATATACATATATATAAATATATATATATATATATATATATATATATATATATATATATATATATATATATATATATATATATATATATATATAACACAACTCGTTATAGCGAGCGTTGCAAACGTCAAGAAACTGTCGCAGTGCCTTATCTTAACCTAACCGAAGACCCACAAATAGAAAACGAGACGTCAATTTTATTTTTGCGAGCCCCTAGGATTCTTAGCACATGTTTAGCGATGGGAATTTTGTGCGTCAAAATGCGACGTGTTATGAGAGACGTCAAGTTGGTCGCCCGACGTTCCGATACATCATACTTGCTCTTGAAGCTGTGAGTACCACCCGGCCTCCTAATAGAGCGTCGCATTTTTGACGTATACTTTACTTTAGGCCAAAAAATCGTCGTACCAAAATGTGATAGCGGCTCACGAAATTGATGTACTGTCCCGTTTTCTGTTTTGGATCCTCTGTTAGGTTAGGATAGGACACTTTAATACGACAGTTTCTAGACGTTGGGGAATCTTAGGAGGACTGGCTGATGAATAGCGTCTGGGGGGGGGGGTAGAAATAGCCTAAGCTACTCTATCCCTTTGAGATGTATTTCTTTGTTATCTCAATAAACATACTTGAACTTGAGCGGCTGGTTTCTGGCGCGGTTTAATTCAATCGTTCACAACTCTCATTGCATACAAGTATTTCCTTACATTTCTCTATTGTAATTGAGACAGAGAGAACTTGGCGTTACGAAGCTTTGGTGATAGAACAGGTGGTATTACTTGGTGGAGTAACGAGACTGGTGGCAAGAGCCCCCGCCCCCCACCCGGCAAGAGAGTTAGGTTACCCCTAGCGGTTGAAAGGGTGAGAATTGTAACCCCGTTCTCCATCCCTCCTAATGCTGAGTTACCTAGTGCATTGCTGATATTTATATTCTATTTAAAACATAAATCACACCAAGATATTAAATATCTCTTATTCAAATTCTGAATAAAATACAGATAATTATCATTATTTTACTTTTGATGTGAATGTTGGAGATCTGTAGCTAAATATCTTTCTAATTTGAAGCGTTGGCAACAGGAATAAGCCTTCATTGCTTTACATGTGAAACACAATTACACACATAGCCTCAGGCCGCGGCATTTTTGTCAATTTGAATTTGTCACAATCCCCTTTTGTTGAACTCGGAGCCTGATCCCGTATTAAATTCGATTAACCACGGTCGACCATCGATGTTACATGGGATTCAATAGCTTGGAAAGTCACAATGTGGGCTCTGAATGATTCATTAGATTAAACGGATTTTTTGTGATATATATATATATATATATATATATATATATATATATATATATATATATATATATATATATATATATATATATATATATATATATACTATAAGAAAACTTTAGATATTGTAATTTACATTATAATAAGACATGAAACATATATTTAGATTTTCTTGTATAAATATCACTCTCAAACACCGTCAATATTAAGAATGTAGCATTCCTGGCAGACAAATTTATCCTACAACAGGGCTAGCAGTAGGGAACAATAAATCCCATATTCAAACACGCATGTAGGAGCACTTTGGTAATCACCTCGCGTGTAATCCCCCCCCCCCCCCCCACTATACAAGGCTCCAAACCTGCCTTTTCTTTCTGCCCGCCGGCTCGTCCGTTCAAAGATATAATCGCAAGAAAGGGATCAAAGCCGAGCCGGCCTCAGTCCTCCTTGGCTACTGTCAATTACTCCCATTTGTAGACACGCGCTGAAGGGTCGGGTCCTAACCACACGAGGACTGGGTTAGAAATATTTACCGTACAGTTCACAGACGTTATATGTAGACGACTTCGAGTTATCCGCTCGTGCAGCGGTCCAGTAGGCTGCATTTGTAGCCCCCGGTGTCACAATTATTGCCACCAGGGAGCCGGTTTAATCTTTTTCGCTTTACTCTGCAACGATTCTGGTGATGGCCGACACGGGGGTGAGTGACCCTTCCTGTAGCCGACACGGGGGTGAGCGACCCTTCCTCTAGCCGACACGGGGGGTGAGTGACCCTTCCTGTAGCCGACACTGTGGTGAGCGACCCTTCCTGCAGCCGACACGGGGGTGAGCGACCCTTCCTGTAGCCGACACGTTGGTGAGTGACCCTTCCTGTAGCCGACATGGCGGTGAGTGACCCTTCCTGTAGCCGACACAGTGGTGAGCGACCCTTCCTGTAGCCGACACGGAGGTGAGTGACCCTTCCTGTAGCCGACACAGTGGTGAGCGACCCTTCCTGTAGCCGACACAGTGGTGAGCGACCCTTCCTGTAGCCGACACGGAGGTGAGCGACCCTTCCTGTAGCCGACACGGCGGTGAGCGACCCTTCCTGTACCCGACACGGCGGTGAGTGACCCTTCCTGTAGCCGACACGGTGGTGAGTGACCCTTCCTGTAGCCGACACGTTGGTGAACGACCCTTCCTGTAGCCGACACTGTGGTGAGTGACCCTTCCTGTAGCCGACACGGCGGTGAGTGACCCACGGCTGGTGTTGAGGCTCCATGATAGTGTAGAGGGCACGGCAGGTGTGCGTGACAAAGGCGGGACCAGGAGACCTGACAAGGACCTCGGGAAGGCATGAATGAGACCAGACCAGCGGGGGAGACGTCACCATGGCGGCCCTTCGATGGTCTCTACCAGATATATTACCCTACAATCAGGCTCCTTCATTATATAAGAATTGGAAAGTTTTCGTTGATCTTAAATTAAATTACAGCAAATAATCCACAATTAGGATTAATCAGCTCCTCAACCTATACGAACTTTCTGAAAATATTCAACACCACAGTGGTTTCGGGGAATATATATACCGGATAGGATTATAAGATGAATCACTATTGATGAATTAGCCCTCTTTTTTTTTTCCTTTTATGCGATGCGAGTGCGGTTTGTCGGTCAGTGGCTGGCCGCGTTGACCACCTCAAACAAAAGACGGTTCTCGGGAGATGTCAGTGTTAACCCGAGGAAGACGAGGGAAACTAACCTCAGGGACAGAAGAAGGTCCCGCGCCCGGCGACCCCTCACGCCGGACTTCATCAAGCCTCCGGCGGCCTCCCCGAACGGTGAATACCGTTTTCTTTCCTGCAAGCCTCATTGGCCAATGGATCTACAAAGACATGTTTTCCAACTCCAATGGTGGTGGAGTGATATTCTGTGATTTTAAAAAGTGCTCTGCACTCCTTAAATAACCCATCACAATGTATATCTGAAGTAGCTTGTATTATTAAATGGAATGGAATTTTTGCCAATGATAATAACTATTGTTTAAAATTTGTGTGGATCCCATCCCATTTTGGAGTTGGAAAACATGACTTTGTAGCTCCATTGGCCAACGAGGCTTGCAGGAAAGAAAACATTGATTATGACTTTGTTTCTAATAATTGCATTAGATAGTCCATACAAATTAAATAAATTAATTCAGATTTAGAAGAACTAAGAAATGGCCAGAGACCTGAAAGCTGCAGTATTAAAAGTTATGACAAGTTTTGTAATAATAGGTATTTGTATGGTCAGCACAGTAACCGGACCAGGCAATGTGATGTAGTCATTGTGGTAATTCGCCTTGGCTATAGACACATCTGGCAGGTTAGTGAGGCTGAGCCACTACCAGAATACTCAGATTGTAAACTCTGTGATAAACCTTTAATGGATTCACTAGAACACTATATTGTTGAATGTGAAACCGTAAAAGACTTTAGACCTCCTGGCCTCTTGTACCACCAACTGTGTAACTCTTTCATTGACTCAGGTGTTCTCAGGTAATATAGTGCTTAGGGACGTCTCGAAAGCCTTCGACAAAGTGTGACACACAGGCCTAAAATATAAGATATCTGAACTATGGCTTCCTGAGAGATTTACTGCTACTCTCTGCAGCTTTATAGACAATAGAACTGCTAGGCTTAATATCGGCAGCTACTTGGGTGACGTAATAGAACTGAAAAGTGGAGTACCACAAGGAAGCTGCCTCTCCCCCACTCGATTCAACATATATACAGCTGACCTACCCCAACCCCAACA